AATACTGCAATATTGTTAAATATAGCGATAGGCATTCAATCAACATGTACGGATCTTGACCTAAGGTTTATGCATGTAAGACGGGGCAGGTTTGTATAATAAAAAAATTTTAGACACGTTATATTTTTTCTGTCTCACGGAGTGAGGATGCTTTGCATCTAATATATCACAATGAAAGATCAGAATAGCATACCTGCATATTAAAACAAACAAAATTATCAGTACTTCGAAAAGTGGCATATCTTTAGAGGTTGGAATTATGGATGTAAGATCTATGATGAATGCATTCATCATTCACATCTATATTGTAAAACGTGCAAAAAAATAGCGGATGGAATACATAGGCAATGTGAATGTGAAAATTTTAAGATCAACTTCCAAAAGAGGTTACCAAACACGCACTTCGAAAGAAAACAGAAAGAGCCAGAAAAGTCTACGATCTTTTTTTCGTATTAGCGATGATAAAATTCAATAGACGGTGTATATCCAACGAATAAAGACGTTTACAGCACCATCTATTTCAAATTTAAGTTCGGATAATATCAAATATGTAGCATTTCAGGTTAAGAAGAATAGAGAAACTTAAAATGTGGCGATCATGTGATAATGATGTAACTCGACCATGACTTCTCAGTCACAGTCTCGAAGTTTGGGACTTTTTTTGTCTTTAAGCAAAAATTAATAAAGCAACGTGAACTACTGCATCATATATTATTTTTTAATCATGTACGTATGTGATATGCATTAGAAAAATAAAATATCGATGAGTGATCGCCTGCCGAGATGTGTATTGGTTCAGATCAATCTCAATACATTTTCAGTATGAATTATTTATTGGTATAAAGTAAATCATATATAGATATTGTATAAATCAGTCATGTTAAAACTGTGAGTTTTTTGGCAATTCTTGCTTCGGAGTATCTTCCCATCCTTCTCTTTTTACGCTGAGCAATCAATTTTTCTCTCGTATAATGGATACACAACTGTATAGTAATTATCTTATCATTACCAAACAGTGACATTTTGAAATACAGATAATAAATTCGTGCATACTTACTGCCCACTTTATTAGAGCTTCATACATAAAAACGAAATTAGGCATATCTACCCAATCTTTTGGGAGACTAAAACGGTCCACTTCGAACAAACGATATGTTCCTGATGATCGCATAAAATTGAGTTAGGCTATATATGACATCACTATAAAATTTTACGTATTACATACCACAAAAATCAAGCATTGTAAGAGAGAGTTCAGTTTTACAAGCAGTTGCACCATATACTCGAAGGCCTGTGTATACTTGTCTTCGTTCTGAAGCCTCTGATACAATTATATGGTTAAACAGTTGTATCATGCTTTTGATGTTCTTCTTATCGACGTTAATATTTTTTTCATTCCTCGCCCCTGGTTTTGCCCCTTCCATGCAAACAATTTGGTAGTTTGAGACATCATTAAGGTATCCAACACCATCTGCCATGACTTTTGCTTTTCCTTGCAAAGAAATCTCACCACTATTGAAATTATATAATTAATTCTAAGAAAATCAAAAAGAGAGTAATAAAGACAGTTTCAACTTACGATATATAATTAACACTTGCAAAAATCCACAACGCATTATCAATTAACGGATGTATAAATTGGTTGAGATGAGGTCTTTCTAAAATCGTAACATCTCTCAAGGGGTTTAGTGCATCTAAAGAGAAGGCCTTTATACTATACGTAATAGTATATTAGTAATTTTGTAAAATGGGATACTCTAAAACTTCTTACTTACAATCGTCCCAATGTTCCCTTAAGCAGTTCTTTTGTACCTTGCAGTAATTCCGAGTCTTTTTCGTTGATGACTATTCTTCGAACTGATTCGTGCCATCCTTGTTTACCGTGATCAGCATTAAAAAAGTCAGTGAGAAAATTATGAATTTCATCTGTTATATAATCCTTGTCTATTTCGTCGAAAACTTCATGTAGAATTTTATCTTGCAATGCTTGATTTAAGGAAAGGGATAGTTCTGAATGTAGCCGGAGGTCCATGACAGGATAATTATTAAATTTTGAACGATATATTTCTAGAATATCTTGTTCAGCCTGAGTTGCTAGTATATTGCAATCAAGAATATCATAAACGATTATCTATAATAAGACAAAATGAATTAATATTTTTCTTATCATATCTGTATGCATTGCAAATAAAAGATGCGGACCTTGTTTTTATCTAAATATTCTTCCTCGTTTATATTACCGCTGTCGGCACCTTCGTCGCTTTTAATACCTTCCTCATTATTGGTGCTATCATTATTGCTGTTACTGCCTTCCTCGTTATTAGCGCTATCACTATTGTTACTACCTCCCTCGTTGTTGGTGCTATCATTATTATCGTTACTGCCTTCCTCGTTATTGGCGCTATCATTATTGTTACTACCTTTCTCATCATCGACATTTTCATTATTCTGCTGAACAGTAATTAAAATTTTAAATATGCATCCACAGTTGATAAAAGACTAATTCAGAGTATTAATAATGTTACCTTTTGTCTTCCTCCATTCCTGACAAGGGTGTTTAATTCTCGGTGTACTTCCACATTTGTTTCATGAATTTCACCACGAATTGACATCTATCGGATAAAAGTTATCATAGTTAGTTGCGAACTTAGTTGAAAGTTTGTGATTGAACGCACCGATTTTTTTTCTATAAGCCACAATTCCCAATCTGAATTGCACTATTAGTGAAGAAAGTATATGTTAGAGAAACAATATGCTATAAGTAAACCAAATTTGATTATATACATTAATAGTTTCTTTGAGATTTCTTAATTTCGACTGTTTGTCCGGGTTCTCACAGAAATCAATAGCCTCATCAAGGCATTTTCCGTACTTTTCAATTGCACGAGATTTATGTGTCGGCGTGATAACACGAAAGAATTCTAGGGGAGTCGGATTGTTATATGAAATCATCCAATATATGTGACGTTGTTTCATTTTCGTCCGTGAAGAAATCATACTTGGTATGTTATGCATTTTAATTTTAATAAAAAAAGAGAATGAGTGCATCTTGTTTGTTAAAAGTTAATTAATGACCTTGAAGTGTGCTGTTGTTTACTCAACGGCCGGCCATCCCTAGATGATGACTTGCCAATTACTTGGCTTCCGATAGAACTCAGTTATCGCAGACGCCCTGAGTACTCAATAAACACCAAACAACTTTGTGTCCCAAAGTCAGCCGGCCACCCCTAGACGATGACTTGCCAATTACTTGGCTTCCGATAGAACTCGTTATCGCAGACGCGTCATTCGTTCTTAGCAAAGTTGTCGTAAATTATAAAAAAAAAATATAAAACCTACTCACTCGAAGAGGTTTAAAGAAAACGCAAAACGGTTAACGGTTGTAATGATATTGCAGATATGATTTATGACTTATCAACAAAAATTTTAGGGTAGCGTTCCCACAAAAAATTGTTTACCCGTGTAATTTTGACCAATCAAATTTTAAGATCAGGTGTAACTATAGATGCTGGTGAAATTAATTTCACCAATTCACCATCAATTTCACCAATAGTGGTGAAATTATTTCACCGCATTTCACCACATTTCACCACATTTCACCAGCATCTATAGGTGTAACGTGATAGTCGTGTTTTGTTTTCTAAGTAAAAAGTTGCGTTATAGTTAGGGTTTAGGCCGCAGAAGGTGGTTTCCTAGAGCTATTCTCGTTTTTTGTAAAAGCTTCGCTTCAATTTTTACGTTATACCTGATCCTGGCCAATATTACAGGGGATGAGCAATTTTTTGTGGGACAGCTAGGGCATTTGTAGATCTGTTACACAATTTATAAAAAATTTTTTATATTGTTTTAAAGTACTTTTTTAGAAAGCTGTTTAGGTAAAAATGATCACTACTATCTTAATTGCCCCTTTCGTATCGATCAAAAGAAGTTATTAATGCTTTGCAGGCTTAGATAAACAAATTTAAATACAGAAGAGCCTTCATTAGTAGATCATGGTTTAGCATTAATAAAAATCCAAATATCAGTATAATACTTGTTGGAACGACAATATACAAATAAAAAATAATTTTTTGATTATACATTAAGGATCGTAATCATTATCACTACAATCATCATCACCAGTTGAATACCACATATAACTATCAAGAGAATGGTCAACCTTATCTCTATATCCGTAGTAATGCGAAATTGGTTTATCGTCTAGTTTGAATAGAAAAAGAAACTAAGTACCAGGTGGTTATATTTTAAGGAAATTATTTTTGTAGAATAGTTACGCAATGTAAGCTTCACTTACAAGATCTAGGATAAGACGGTGTTGGGAAGTCATAATAGAAGTCCTTTGGAGTATTGGTATTGTAGGCGTTTTTATCATTGTTCTTGGAGGCGTTATCATCATTGGTCTTGGAGGCGTTACTATCATTAGTCCTGGGGGTGGTGTCATTATGGCGGTGGTGCTATCATTGGTCCTGGGGGTGGTGGTATTGTTGGTCTTGGGGGTGGTAGTATCGTTAGTACACTCCCCTGACATTGATCACCGGAATTTTGATTTTCACGTTACCTAATGATGATCGTAGCCACATATGTA